TTGAGCTATAGGCGCCGAGCCGCCCTCCTTGATTTTTTGATGGATAATTATTTACTAGTAACCATTTTTACTATTAGCCATAATGACGATGAAGGTGATGGAGAGTGGAGATACTTAACAATCTTGTTTTATGTTTCAAAGTACAAGTTTTTAATTTTTAAAAATGTTTCCAAGTATTGTTCATGGGCAGTCCACAGTTATCCTCACACTATCCTGCTCTCTTGGGCTAAACCCAACTTCCTTCCTTCTACCCATTTTTATACACGTGGAAACTGAAGCTCAGAGAGATTAAGTAACCCGCTCAAAGTGACCCAGCCAGTATGAGTGGGATGCAAACCCAGGCGATCTGGCTGTCAGGGCTGTACTCTTAGCCTTTTATTTTCATGGCAATCCTTCATCAGCATCGTGCACTTGCCAGAACTGCATTTAATCCTCCCAGGAGGAACTGATTTTGCTGTTTTACAGCTCATGAGCAAGATTTAGATACCAGTCAGGTCACTCAGATGATAAAAGGCAAGATGTTTACCTCTAGTGATCTGGTTCCCAGCTGTGCTCTTTTCAACATTATAAGAAGCCCCTCTTAGGCCAAATCAGAGGGTAGGAATAGGATGCACATAGCACATTCTAAAAGAATTGGGTATTTGGCAGGTGTGCTCAGTTTACAAAGCATGTTTTTACCAACAGCTCTTCTTTCTTGCCCATAGAGCCATCTAGACTCATCTCTGGGCTTTGTAGACCCCACAGGGCCTGGTCCCTTGGTCCCCTTCATGTCTCCCATGCTCCAGCGAAATTGTGCTAGCAGCTCTTTCTCTTACACGTGCTCCATGTTCCTACCTCTGTACTTTTGATGTGCTCCTCCTTTCATCTCTGTCTGTACAAATCCTCTCCACCCTTCAGAACCTAGTTCAAATGCCACCTCCACCATGCAGCCTACCGTGATTGCTCCAGCTGGAAGAGGAAGGGGGATGAGAGGGAGACAGGAGTAGGCATTTGTTGCATGTTTACTCTATGCCAGGCATGTTACATAACCTCATGACATTCTCGTGATATAGTTTGTTTCTGTCCCATTTTATAGGCAAAAACAGAGGGGAAATGACTTGGCCAAGGTCACAGAGCAGGAAGGATGGTTTTGGACTCCTCATCCAGTGCTCATTCTGCTCTTGTTAGGAGCCCTGTGGGGCTTATTAAGGCAGACCTTTTGCTCTCACCTTCTCCGTGACTGATTCCTGAGGGAGGTGACCCAACTCGTTCCCTCCCAGCTAAAGCCAGAGCTGCTGACCACTCTCCATTGGTGCTTCAGCCAGAGCTGGCTTTTGTTTCTGCTGCTCACTTGCTGAGTCGGGGCTTTGTCTCCCAGGGGCCCCTCTGCCCTCCCTGCCTATAAGAGCCTGACCTCGGCTGCTCTCAGGTCTGACATGTTCTCTGGGCCCATCCTGGTAAGTCCCAGGTTTGGAGAAGGGGTGGGATCAGAGCTCTGAATGGGCATCCTGGGGAGGGGGAGCCCAGGTCCCCAATCCTGGGGATGTCACTGTGTCATCCTGAATGCCAACCTCATTCTCACCAAGGACAGGCCCCATCAAGACCAGTGCCTGCTGCCCTCATTTAAAAACAAAGTTATCCTGTAGTCCTGTTGCCTAAAATTCTACAATCAGAGCTACTTCTTTGAGTTAGGTGCCATCTTCGGGAGGGCTCTCATAAGTTAAGTGTTTTGGCACCTTCTGGAGTGATGCATTCACCCACTGGCAGCCATAGAAATTTTCCTGTAGCGGACAGATGGAACAATACAGTGCTGGGGGCCCAGAGGCAATGGAAGGTAAGTTTTGAGATGTCATTGACACATATGGAAAGGATAGGAGAGGGACAGGCTAAAGCCTCGCTTTGTCCTCAGCGCAGTCACTCCTAGGCCCCATCTGGGTCCTGACCCAGCCCAAACCAGCCTTCAGCATCAAGGAAAAGAGCAGAGAGTCAGGTGGAAGGTCATCGTGTTCTTCTTCTCCGTAGGAAGGGACCAGCATGGCCCTGCAATGTGCCAAGTCAGCAGGACACTGGAAGGTAGGAAGAGGCATGGGGAGCGGTGTCTCCAGGAAGTGGGTGTTGGGGGGGGGCGCAGGTTAAACCCAAGTCAGAGAACCCCCATTTTCACCTCCATCGAATTCCAGGAGGAGGGGGTTATACCCATTTCACAGAGAATGCAGCCAGTGCTCAGAGGGGGAAACAGGCTGCCCTTAAGATCACATACAGGAAGATCAAATTTGAACTTGGAACTTCTGGCTCCCAAACTTGAACTGCTAGTTCTCACTGGTAGAGATTGCACACAATCTTGGGGCACAATTTCTTTGACCATCTGTGTGTTTTTGTTTTTTGTTGCTTTTTAAAGCTTTTGAATTTACAGCCTTTACATACCTGGAGGATCTGTATTCAAGTCCATAATTAGTGATTGTGTTGAGAAATCGAAAAGTCTGGCCCCCATTCTCACTTGCCAACAATTGGTGGCACTGAGCAGAGACCACCAATTTTCCTGGGGCCTGTGCTGTCCAGTTCCCCACAGCCTTCACCTCCCTTGCCTGCCTGGCCACTGGAGGC